CATCTTGACTATAATTTTTGGCTTAGTGGTAAATATTGATAGTCAAGGTTCTAGTGAAATCGGTTCTCACTAATTTAGAGACAAGTCATATCCAATAAGTGGCTCACACTAATTTAGTGGCTAGTTCTTAAGTCAATATTCGAAGTCAAACTCGCTAGTAAGCTAAAAACAAATTTGAAAACATTAACATATTGCATATTTCTACATATGGATAGTAATGATTAAAAGATAAAGATAAATATATGGTTTTTAAAAAAATAAAATGGTCTTAATCGTCTATTTATAGTTATATGATACATAAATTGTTATATTTTATAAATTACAAGTGTTCTCACTCAAAATATATATTCTCAATTACCCTTTTCTCTCTATGTGTGTATGTAGTGTTAAATGAGAAAAAAAAATTCGTCGCTACCATTATTATAAATAATATTTTTGTATTGTTTTTAGCGATCGAAATCTTTTCGTCGCTAATTTAGCCACCGAAACTAATTCGATCGCAAATATACATACAATTCAGTCGTTAAAGGATATGTAATTTACAAACTGAATAGTGACGGAATTAGCGACAAAAAATTGCTACTGAAAATATTCGGTCGCTAAATAAAAACTACAACTAATTATGTTGCTATTAGCGACGAAAAAAAATCGGTCGCTAAATTGACTTTTTTTATTATAATGGATGTGATATTTGGGCTACAATAGAAAAAGTTGCATCTTGACTATAATTTTTGGCTTAGTGGTAAGTATTGATAGTCAAAGTTCCAGTGAAATCAATTCTCATACATATATATATATATATATATATATATACATAAAGTATATCTACCAAATAGCTCGATATTTCCATGGCGTTACAGTGGCCACATCATGGACTCCTCTAATGACAATTGGACTATCATTTCTGGTACTGAATTGTTGAGAATTGGAGGCCATCTTTTCTATTAAGTTCTTGGCTTCAGATGGGGTCATGTCACCAAGTGCTCCACCACTTGCAGCATCTATCATACTCATTTCCATGTTATTCAGCCCCTCATAAAAATATTACAACAATAACTGCTCAAAAATCTGGTAGTGAGGACAACTTGCACACAATTTCTTGAATCTTTCCTAGTACTCATACAAGCTCTCTACACCAAGTTGCCTGATCCCTAATATATCTTTTCTGATTGTAGTGGTCCTCGAGGCAGGGAAGAATTTTTCTAGAAACATTCTTTTCAAATCATCCCAGCTAGTGATGGACCTGGGAGCCAAATAATAAAGCCAATCTTTAGAAACTACCTCCACAGAATGTGGAAATGCCTTCAAGTAAATGTGGTCCTCTTGAACATCAGGAGCCTTCATGGTAGAACAAACAATATGGAATTCCTTCAAATGTTTATGTGGATCCTCACCTACATGATCATGAAACTTGGGCAACAAATGGATTAGTCCAGGTTTAAGCACAAAAGGAACATCTTCCTCATGGTATTGAATGCACAGAATCTCATATCTAAAATCAGGTGCAACCATCTCCCTAAGTGTCCTCTCACGGGGTCCATTATAAGGTTGTTCACCCATGTTTTCTATTTGAACTGAATCAACTTGTAATGCAACACTCACACTATGATTATCACTATCTAAAGATGGAATTATATGCTCTCTAACTAGTCTATGGAATGTCCTATCAATCTCAAGGTCAAATGGATGCAAAAATCCTGGATTGCTCCTAGTCATGCACTACATACAACACATGTAACAGGATACCTAAACAGTAGGGGTAAAATGGGAATTTCCATGAAAACTTAGAAACCATCAAAACTAATGCACCAATATCATCCTAAAATCATTAAAAACTACCACAAAAAATTTCAAAGCAAAATTCTAAGTCTAACTATGTGAAAAACCTATGAAAATTTTGGAAAAATAAGGAAATAAAACTTCAAAATTAGAAAAAAAAATAGTAAATGACCTTTTTCTGAAAATATTACCAGGGCCAGCTGGCTAGGTTGGATATCTCTTGTTTTTCTACCCCAAAAGCATATATAATATGTTGAATTCTGATAACCAGAGCAAAAGTTATGACCGTTTTAGGTTTTGGTAAAATCTGGTTTCACAAATTTTTGTATCTCCAAATCTGGACCACTTTTGTAACGACCCGCCGTGGTCCCTCACTTAGTGGAATCGCACTAAAAACAGTGAACTAAGATAAATAATAAAATTGGATAACTTAAAACATGAAAAATATATAAGAATTATTAAGTTTTTAAGTATTAGGTATTTATACAGTTATCCAAAACTACTACCTCCTAGTGCTGGAAAAGCACAAAACTGCTACCCAAGGTGGTAACTCTAACACGAGGATCAAAACTTCCCGTCTCGCAGCGGTCACCTCAACTCCAAGCTAGCCCTAACTTGCTCCCATACCAAGTATGGTCATCGCAGTTCCACCACATGGAAACAGAAGGGTAAGCTAGAGTTCAAAAATCAATCTATATATATATATTGTGTCCGCCATAGATCGCTATGGCAATATGACACTTAAAGGTCTTTGCCGCCATCTGCCATATAATCTTATTGACAACCTTATTATTCAATAAGTCCTTAATTATTTTCATAAGCTCATGTACACTAAATAAATTAATCCAAACCGTCCCTAAATGCTTGTGTTAACATGCTCATATTATTTTTGCAACAATTGAAACAAGCTCAATTTCAAGTTGATGGTGGTTTAGGGCCTTCAACCATAGACATGGTCGCATAGGCATGAGGGGTGAAAGGTGGGTGAATAGGGAAAATGAAGGAGGCAGGTGTTTGGAAGGTTCAAGGTTGGCTAACTTTACTAGGCAAGGGTGAAGGCCACTCAAATAAACCCTAAACTCACTCAAGAAGGACAAAGGAGGGTTAGTCCGTGTAGACCTAGGGGACTAAGGAGAGGATTTGAGAAAAAAATGTCCACCCAAATTCATATATTCCAAAGTGTGTAGAAGGTGCTAGGCTAAGGGTATATACAGGAGTACGAAGGCATCTAGGGTTGCATGGTCGTGTAATGCAAGCCCAAATGCAAGCTAAATGCAACCTAAATGAACCCTAGATGATGTGTAGGTTCCTTCCTCCTAAAAGACTAAAATATCCCCTGACCTAAAAATAGAAAAAAGTGGACTTTAACCTCACAAGTCAAGGTTTAAGTCCTAAAATAAATCCTAAGCTAATTTGCCCCATAATACAAAGACTAAATGAAAATACACAATAAAATCCTATCATCAAAGTACCCCAAAATACAAGAGTAAAAAAGGAAATAAAGTAATAAAATCTTATACTACTCAAAATGAGCCTAGGAGATGGATCAATACTCCAGACTCATGATGAGTATGGCTCTAAGCAGGATGTATCTTTCATCTTCCTCCATTCTCCTAGTCATGGACCTAGTAATGGGTCCCACATAAAGCTCTAAGGGTGGTCCTCCATTAGGTTGTCGCGACGGCTCTATTCACACTCTAACCCCAAAGACATTAGGGCACTCAAATTGGGCCTGGATTGCAGCCCAAAACTAGCCCAGAAACCCTAGCCTCGTTACATCCTCCATATCCTTCATATCATAACAGGACAAAACGGCCATGGCGCCTGCCACGGCAAAAATGGCGAACGACGTCACAAAATGCCATATGGCAGATGGCGAATTGCGGAGAGCCCCAAAACTGCCCCGCCATTCCGTTGTAACGCCATTATAACAATTTTTTGACAACATTGATTAGCATGACAGATGCAATGACTGGATTTTTTTCACAATACCATGTTGTTTATAGTATTTTAATTTAATGCTTTTAGCCAAGTATTTTGATTTATGCTACATTCCTATGTTGCATATTTGCTTGTAACCTAATAATCGATTTTGGCCATTAATCATATAGACATGTAGCAAATGCCAAAACTCCTCAATCTCATGGCTATATTTTGGTGATGGATTTCTGATTAAGTCATAATTTTCTACCTATCATCCAGTTCTTTGTTTTTGAAACAAATAATTTCTCTAGTATTGTATCATAAAACTGGACTGCAATTTAGGCATTCCACTATACTCTTATTTAGTAGGATGATCATGCAATTGAAGAAAATTAAGAAAAATCTGGGAGAGCTTAGCAGTAATTATCTTTCAAGCTTCTGCTTACAAGTATATGAAGTAGAAATCGTAGGTTAAAGCTTGCATTTGGGTGCTAGTTCTATTATGCATTAAAGATTCAAATCATAATAGTTGGAAAGGAATTTATTCATTAACTTGACTTGGTATTGCTATAGACATAAATTTAAGTTGATTTTGGGAGTAGTAAGAGACAAACTCAATCCTTAAGAAACTTCTAATTTGTTGTGTCCAGAATAAAGAGTCACAAAAAATATACTATTAAAAAAACCTTAAAATTTATGAATTCAGTTACGAGGATGATTTGGCACAAATTCTGCAATTAAAGAAGTCAATAGATGCAGATTTAATTAGACTTCTATCCATCCAAGGATTCAAAGACATTGTAGGTGGGAAGATTGAGATAAGCATCCATCTAATCAAGAGATACACTTATGGTACAGTGCATCTACCAAAGTGTGCTGATAAAAATAAGGGTAATCGGTGCATTGATCCGAAACAAGAACAAGCACTTTCATGGAAACATAATTAACCAAACATATTAACTGTACATAACATATAACTAAGGAAAGAGTCGTCCACTTTAATCCCATCCCCCCAAATGAGTCTAAGATATGAACTAAAATACAAATCAGATTAGGTAATTATTGTTCTAAATGAATATGAATCATTGAATTGACATACAAGTGTCAATGAAGATAAATATTAATTACTAAGGATTCAACTTTGATATTGCTATTTTTACACTATGGGTAATATAATATAGCGCCGGCTAAACAGGAAACTATTAATATGATTTTGTGCTAGAATGCTAGTGTAAAAGCTTGGTTACTTACTACTAACCATACGTGGCACTCTCTTTTTATGATGTCTACACATAATGTAAAAATACTAACAATGGTTCAAAATTTAAATTTAAACACAATGTTCTTTAGCAAAGGAGTTAGGTGACAATAACATGTGTCATCCCCTTTTGTGCCTTTATATATTTATGAAATGCACACTTGATACAGAAATATAAAGAAACATTTTCAAGTCACATTCTTTTATTCGACTTATGAAAATGTTAACATTAAGCATATTGATTATAGGAAGTGTACGGTATATAACTTAAAACAACATTTTTTACTATATCATGGTGTGTTGGGCTTTCTCCACGGAATTCCTCAGTAAGGATATTACTTGAGCTGGCTCAGGGGCTCCAAACACTGAACTTCCAGCAACAATGCAATTTGCCCCAGCTGATGCGGCCATGTCTATGGTTGAAGGCCCTAAACCACCATCAACCTGAAATTGAGCTTGTTTTAGTTGTTGCAAAATTAATATGAGCATGCTAACACAAGCATTTAGGGACAGTTTGGATTAATTTATTTAGTGTACATGAGCTTATGAAAATAATTAAGGACTTATTGAATAATAAGGTTGTCAGTAAAATTATACGGCCGATGGCAATAAGGACCTTTAAGTGCCATATTGTCATAGCAATCTATTGCGGACACAATGTGTATATATATATATATA